TTAGATCCCCAGTTCTTACTACCTGGTTTGAAACCCAAAACTGGGAAACCGTACTATTTCAGTCCCCAGTTGATAAAACAGGCACATTATACTAAGGCGACTGTCCATAATAAATTGGAAATTTCCAAGGACTATCTGACACTAGCAAGAGATTATTGATGTTTCTGCAGAATTAAGTAGAAGTACATTACATAGGAGATGAGGAATGAGACACATGATTCATTTCTAAAACTGAAGACAGCACAACCTAACAAAACAAAGATTAAGAACCTGTTTAGATAGAATGACTGTAGGAGTTTTTTCAATCCAGAGATTAACAAAAAGAGAGATGCACCAGGTACAACCAGGTGGTGGTGTGGAGTCCCAAATACCACAGATAATATTTGAACACACTGGTCTATTAATGTGAGCAGACATTATTGGATAAAGACTCCATAGCAGAGCCGAAACGTCGCTCCAATATAGTTTGCTTACAATAATTGATCAGTGTGTTCGGGAATTTGCAGGAGATCAAGCAGAGGCAAGGAGAGAAAGCAGCAGGGCCGGCGCCCACTGGGAGTTTTCCTGGTGCGCTGCCCTGTCTTGGGCCAGAGCGCTGGACGAGCAATTCTTGAGCGTGAGGGTGGGGGTGCTGAGAGGAGCCCTGTCACAGGGGGCCCAGGAGGTGGCCATCTGGCCACATTAGGGCACCCCTAAAGCTGTGCTTATTAGGAATTGCAGAGCAGACACCTGCTTACCCAGATGGCAGGTGCCTGTTCTGCCGATAAATGCTGGGGGAGAAGGCAGGCAAGCATCGGCGGCAGTGTGGGAGGCTAGGGAGGCTGATCTTCCAGCTTCGCACTCCTCCCTCTGTGATGCCGGGAGCCCTCTGTGATGACAGGCTGCCTTCCAGTCATGCATGCTGGCCAACAGCTTGGCACCCTAAACTTGGCATACATGCATCTAATGATGCGCTAGCTCTATGCTTTCTAAGGACTGTCCCCTAGTACTCACTGGTCCACTACTCTTCTTACTAGCAGGCAGAAGGTCCTGTTATACAGTCTGGGACAGAGAAAAGGTGTATGTAGTGAGTGTAGAAGAAAGGGAAAATGCCACAGTGTTAGAGAGACTGAAGCATACTGCGCAAAGTCAGCTTTACCTTAACTAATTTCATTGTCAGCCAGTTCACACAGGTTTTGTTCCCCTACATCTCTCTTATGTTTCCATACTTAAGCAAGAGCACATGAAGACTAGTAAAAATAAAATAAAATAAATAAATAAATATTTTTTTTTTTTAGCAATGGGCCTATTCCATTGGCCTGGGCCTGGAGCTGCAGCTCCAGCAGCCCCTTTGTTAATCCAGCCCCGAAAGGGACACTCCTTTGTATTTGCCTTAGATGTTGCCAGCCTTCTATTTTTTTTTACCTGATGCCTCCACTCTGAAGAAAAAATGTAGTTCCAGGTCAAGAACATATAGCTTTTACAAATGTGAGCCCGTTTGTGTGCAATGTGTATCCATTGCTAGATAGATAATAAATGATTAGATTGAAAGATAGATAATAAATTATCAGATAGATATATAGATATCAGAGATATAGCTAGATATATAATATATGATTAGATATACAGATAGATAGATAGATAGATAGATAGATAGATAGATAGACACTACGACTTTCACCTATCCGATCCTTCATATCTTTTTATCCCAAATGTAATCTCCTCTGGTTTTCATCTCTAATTACCTCAATATCGCCATGTCTCCACACTATTCATGGTGTTTTTTTTTTTTCTAACCCCGGACCTTATATTTCAGACTGGGCCCTAATAACATAATTGATTATCAACACCCAGTACTCACAAGCAACCAAGCCCTGCAGAAAAGCCTAAGTGGAGGTGTCATCTCTGGAAGGCTGCCCACCTTCCCTCCCCGCACCACCCCGCCCTATGGTCATTACCATACTTATAGATAATGCAGATCAGCTGATTTTCAATACACACCAAGTCACTAAACCTCTCCTCACCTGAAATCCCTCTGTTAACAAACTGCATCCTTAACCATGGTTTAAATACTCATAGGTATATGTGTGTATATATATAAAATATATATATATGTATATGTTTAATCTCCATATCTATATAACAGAACACATTTTCTCTAAAAATTGTCTCCCTTCTATTTTTCACTTTCACAATAACTTCTATCATTACTAAAATATCCCTATCCTTCTATAAAACTTTCAAATTCTATTCCCACCTTCACTTCCTTTCTATCCTTCTGCTCCTAGCAGCTGGTGATGTCTTTCCAAACCCCGGTCTCAGGAAACCCACCACGTACTAACTCAAGGAACCACACCAATCTCATACTGATCTCATGTTACTCTTCCTCTATATCCTCCTTCAATACTGCCTTCTAGAATGCACGCTCTGTTTGCAATATTACAAAATCCACTGCTGTTCACAACCTCTTCATCTCTCGTTCCCTAGATTTACTAGCCTTAACACAAACATGACTCTCCCCCTCTGACACTGCTATCCCTGCATCTTTATCCTTTGGTGGTCTTCAACTTACCCACAACCCAAGACATTCTGAATGTAAAGGTGGTGGTGTAGGGTTTCTCCTCTCACCTCACTGCTCCTTCAAAGCTCTACCCACTCCCCCCTTGCCTCTCTTTCCCATCATTTGAAATTCACTTGATTCACCTCTTAAAACCCCTCTCTGCTAACATTGCCGTTACTTATCACCCCCCTGGTTCCCCTCTCCTCTTCCTTGACCACTTTGCTACCTGGCTACCCTACTTCCTCTTTTTTAATATTACAATCCTAACTCTCTGGGACTTCAATATTCCCATTAACTCACCTCTGACCTCAGCAGCCTCTAAACTACTTTCAATTACGCCCTCCCTTGGGCTATCACAGTTTGCTAATTCTCCCACCCATGTAGCTGGCAATACCCTCAACCTAATTTTCTCTTATGCATGTGCAATATCTAATATCTGCAACACTCCATTTCCTCTCTCTGATCACCACTTATTATCGTTTACTCTCAAGTACGCCCTCACCCAACAACCTCAGCCTAACCTCAGCCTAAACTCAGCCTAACACCCTGTAATGGATCACCTGGCACCCCGACTGGGTACCTCCATTGAAGGATGCTCTTAGCGCTTCCTGAGGACTCCAAGCACTGCAGCAGACACCACAACCACCGAACCGGAGAAGCATACGAATGCTCTCAAGCATTTAATGCTGTAAGCAGCTGAACAGGAAAAGCATACAATCAGCTTACACTCCTGGCAATCAGCATACAATCCAATTCCCCCAATAACGAGACAACACTTCGTTTTGAGGTCAAGCAGAACTGACTGTACTGGCACATACAGCCTCTTTTATTCACAATCCACAAACATAGTACTGCCCACAGGGTTTTGAAATACAACCAGTCAATCCGTACAATACACACAGACACTCTCACACAAAATCCTCCCCTCTGCCTGTGATATGATTACTGAACACAATGGGTAATATAATTATCACAGGCAGAGAAATACAGTTTTTACAAAATATTAATAACTTCCAAAATATACATGCCATTCACATAAAACATACATTTTCAGAATCCGCATGCTTGAAATATACACATACTCAAAAATCAGGGCAATCGGTTCAGGGGTTAAAAAGTTAAGGGAAAGTCCTATTTGACAAAATGAAGCATGGTTTTTCTGCCCAAAACCAGTTCCACAGAGTCTTCTATCCTGGAGATAATTGGGAAGTAATCCAATTATCTCCAAGGACAGAGGCAAAACTCCATTAGCCACATAGTAGCAAAATACAATAAAATACATAAAAATATATAACTGTGCAGCGATTGCATAAAACAGGTACATTATCCCCAGATAGCTTAGATCTGATTATTACTGAATGGCGCTCAGATCACATACATACAGTTCAATTGCCATGGAGCCAAAGTTTTTCACATAGTCTTTCGTTATACGAATGGGCTCCATGGCATAGCTATCTGGGGTAACACTGCTCACATAGGGAAAGTACCGAATGACCCAGCGTTCGGGTCTTTGCATGGGAAAATCCAGCATTTCAACATGGGGCCATAGTCACAGGGCAGGAGGCTGGCAATCAGTCTTCTCCAATGCCCAGTGGCGAGGCTGGTTTCGCCACACCCCCCTCAACTCAGGAGGAACGTTGATTCTATTGAACTCCAGCAGCTGTCAGCTGATATTGATTCACAATATCCATCTCCTGTCCCTCACTGGCCATCTCCACATATAACATTACCCTCACCTCTGCCTTTAACGCTGCAGCCCAGATCCAAACATGCACCTTGAGGAGGACACGCCCCTAACCGTAGCATACTAAATCAACATGCTACCTGCAAAGATGCTCCCGTTGTGCTGAATGCTCCTGGGGGAAGTCTGGCACCCAGGCAGACTATCTCCATTATAGATTCATATTGTGTTCATACAGCGCAGCCCTTGCCCTCGCCAAACAGTCATACTTTTCCTCTCATTAGTTCATGCTCCCGCAATCCCAGGTATCTCTTTGACACCTTTAACTCTCCTCTTCATCCTGCTGTGGCCACCCCCCAAACTAACCTTACAGCCGATAGTTTTGCATGCAACTTTACCGACAAGATTGAACAGCTAAGGAAAAAATTCTCCCCACCTTGCCGTTCTCTTTCTCAACCACACGTATATCATGCCTTTACTGCCCTTCAGACTTTCTCCCTGGCTACTGAACAAGAGGTGACTGCGCTTTTCCTTTCCTCTCGCCCCACCACTTGCCCGCTCAATCCTGTCCCATCTCACCTCATCAGATCTCTCTCCCCCTGTCTTGTGCCTTCCTTAAACCACATCTTCAGCTGCTCTCTCTCTTCTGGTGTTGTCCCTGCTGACCTTAAACATGCCACTGTATTACCTATCCTGAAAAAAACATCTGTGGAACTGCCCTCCCCCTCTAACTATTGTCCCATATCCCTGCTATCTTTGTCCTCAAAGCTTCTGGAAAGACTTTTCTTTACCCGTATGTCTCACTTCCTCAATTCCAACTCTCTCCTAGACCCTCTTCAATCTGGCTTCTGCCTTCTCCACTTTACTGAGATTGCTCTTATCAAAGTTACTAATGACCTAATTGCAGCTAAATCCAAAGGCCACTACTCCATACTAATTCTTCACCTCTCTGCTGCCTTTGACACCGTTGATCATGATTTTCTTCTTCAAACCCTTCAATCATTCAGTCTCTGTGACACCGTCCTCTTGTAGTTTTCCTCTTATCTCTCCTAATGCTCATTCAGTGTCTCCTTTTCTAATGATACCTCCTCCCTCGTTCTGTCTCGGTTGGAGTCCCCCAAGGCTCTGTCCTTGGTCCCCTTCTATTTTCTCTTTATACTGCCTCTCTTGGTAAATTTATTACCTCATTTGGTTTCCACTACAACCTGTACGCTGATGACACCCAGATTTATCTCTCCTCCCCGGACCTCTTCCCGGCCGTTCTGCAAAGTGTCACTGCTTGCCTTTCTTCCATCTCTGACTGGATGTTCTCCAACTTTCTGAAACTCAATCTCTCTAAAACAGGATGGCTAGAATGTTGGAGGAGATTTTAAACTAGTAGTATTGGGGTCATAGCAATCTAGAAAATGGAGATAGGGCAGAAAGGAGGCGGAATTTAGCTCAGTATAAAGGGGGTGGTGATGGGGGAGGGGTCAAGCTCAGAACAGAGGAGGTATGTAATATTGATAAAAAAAAGTGACTCATGATAATTTTAAATGTATGCTTACTAATGCAAGGAGCCTAAATAACAAAATGGGGGAACTTGAGGCAATAGCATACACTAAACAATATGACATAATAGGCATAACAGAAACATGGTGGGCAGTTACACCTTCAAGCAACAACTAGAAAGTACGCTTGTCTAGACCTGGTTCTAACAAACAACGTTGATCTTTTGACCAACATTGTTGCCTGGAAATTATAGACCTGAAAAGCTTAACTTCTGTGGCTGGGAAAGTATTTGAAAGGTTATTAAGGGATAATATTCAAGAATTCCTTGTAAAGGGCATGGTTATCAGCAAAGATCAGCATGGTTTTATGAAGCACAGTTCATGTCAAACTAACTTGATTTAATTCTATGAAGAAGTAAGTAGAAGTAGATCAGGGTGTTGCCGTGGATGTGATCTATTTGGATTTTGCCAAGGCATTTGATACAGTTCCACACAATAGATTAGTGTTCAAACTAAAAGAAATCTGTCTAGATGAAAATTCTTGTTTTTGGGTTGAACATTGGCTTAAAAATAGAGTACAAAGAGTTGTCACTGATGGTACATTTTCAAGCTGGACAGAGGTGGCAAGTTCTGTTTTGGGACCCCTTTTGTTTAACATGTTTATAAATGATCTTGAAGACAGGATTGAAAGTCATATTTCAGTTTTTGCATATGACACAAAACTCTGTAAAGTAATACAATGGGAGCAAGATATTACTTTGCTGCAGAAGGATTTAGATAGACTGGGGGACTGAGCACTCTGGCAGGTGAAATTTAATATCGAAAAATGCAAAGTTATGCACTTCTGCATCGAGAATGCACAAGCAACTTATTCCCTTAATGGAAGCGAATTAGAGATAACCACACACGAGAAGGATTTGGTAATTGTTATAGACAACAAACTATGCAACAATGTGCAATGTCAATCAGCAGTGGCCAAGGCCAGTAAGGTATTGTCATACATGAAAAAGGACATTCATTCTCGGGACGAGAATATCATTTTGCCTCTTTATAAATCACAGGTAAGACCACATATTGAACATGCTGTGCAATTTTGGACACCTGTATCAAAATAAAGATATTATGGCACTAGAAAAAGTGCAGAGGCGGGCTACAAAATTAATAAAAGGAATGGAAAGGTTAACAAATTTAAACCTATTTAGTTTACAAAAATGTCGCCTGAGAGGGGATATGATAACATTATACAAATATATTCGGGGCCAATACAAACCATTGTGTGGAAATCTATTCACAAACCAGACTTTACATAGGACACGAGGTCATGGATTTAGACTGGAAGAAAGGAGATTTAGATAGATAAATAGACAGATATACAGACAGATACACAGACAGATTTTAAAGACATCTGATTTGTTGTATTTTTCATCTCTCTCCTCACCCTATGGCTGGAATCAGATACTGTGCAGTATCTGTACAAGTTCGCCCTCTAGTGATACCTTTAAACTCATGAACGGCTGTCGTCTTGACTGTCAATTGTAAAAATATTAATGCTTGTGTGACTGGGCACAAGGAAACAAATACTAGGAGTTTAGGCATTTATTTAACAAAATATTTCATATACAAAGCATCCTGCTGCTACACTGTACTCTCGTATGATTTGCTGTACACCCAGAAAAACACGCTGAAAGTGAGAATAGTGTAGCAAACCAAACCCTACAAAATAGATAATATCAACCAAATGTATAACATCATTATAGTGAGGAACACAGCGAGTATATCTATTTAAACAATGCTTATTACCCACCTAAACAAATTCCCTCTGGACACCTGAAAGCGGTATATTCATTAAACAGCAAGTTGCGATAACTGGAAAATATTAAGACCATAATAGCTATGGCTCTGGTTGATGTTTGGAAAAAAATAAGCCTCAAACTCTGATTAATTCAGAATTTATTTTACCCCGCTGCATTTTCATCTTCAATTTTTGCAAGTTGGTTCTCATGTCACCACAACTTACCAGCACAAGCATTATTTACAATCTTTTCAGCCTACACATTTATTGATGTAATGAAAAGGACATAAAATAGGAAGAGCTCATACGCAGGATCTCTGAAGAAGTGCATATTGTACGTACATATTATAAAACATTTCATGATAAATATCACATGGAGTGGAATTGTGGGAGACATATCTGAAGGTATTAGGTAGTGAGACACTGTAGCAGAGAATGTTGTTGATGAAGTAGACACTCATTGACAGAGGCAGATAGAGATGTTAAAGTCTGAAGGAACCTTGTGCGTCCATAGGTTAATTCCAGTGGTAATCAAACATTTTGTATTGTGTAGTTCAAAGAAACATTCAGTATGAGCTTTGCATATTTCTGAAATGCTTGCATTAATCACAGACCAAATTGTGCCTCCTTATAATGCACATGAACTCATACATACATATTATTCATTGTCAGGCAATAAACACAGTCTGTACACAAAAATATGTCCATTGAGGTAATAAATTGCCCAGATCCCCATATTTCTTCTTTATCTAAGGAGAACTGAAAATACAATATTTTCGTAGGACTGTATGTTTGACTTTCATTGTTTTGGCATAGTTAGGGATACATGTTTGCCCAGATATCCTCTACCTTGACTGGCTTTCTCTTGATTACATTTTTTCCTACTTGCTCTCCACCCTTTTTCCCCCTTGGCCCTTTTCCACATTGCTCTTTGGTTACAAAGTACAACAAAGCATTGAGCCAAGCATTAGCACTAGCCAGAGGTCGGGTGACTTTGTAGCAGACAGCAACCACTTCTAGAGTCCGGCATCCACTCAAAGCAGGTCTCCCAGCCCTGAGGGACATGAAAATGGTCCGGGTCACATGGAATGGCAGGAAACACAGAGCAAAGAGAAGTGTGATGGTGACAATAGTTTTTATTGACTTACGTCTCTGTGCTAACCCTGGGACTGGTCCAGGAACCACACCAGGCCTTAAGGTTCTGCACAAAGTGCGCACTACTCGAGAGTAGCACCAGGCAGTGAGTGAGAAGGGCAGAAAAAAGCCAACAGTATGGAGGATAATCCCATATGGCAAATAACGTGGAAGGTCTGAATCCAAGGCATCATCCCAACATGTTAGAACGTCTTCCATTCCATCTAAAGGTCCTGTTCTGGCAAATAGTAGAATGGGTGAAGTCATAGCGAAGACCACAGCCCAAACGAGAACACATGTAGCTCTCACCCACCGCATGGTCTCTTGCCTCATTGAGCGCATGGGGTGGCAGATGCCCTGGTAACGGTGGAATGAGATGCATGTAAGGAAGAAGATACTGCAATACAGATTGAAGTAGAAAAGAAAACGAACCAATCGGCACATTGAGTCCCCAAAGATCCAGCGGTCACGAGAGATGTAACTGGCAATGAGAAAAGGCAAGGACAAGCTATACATGAGGTCACTGAGAGCCAAGTTGAACATGTAGACTAGAGATGGATTCCAAGGACGCCGTAGGCAACGTGTGAGGACAATAGAGTTCAAAGCCAAGCTGAGCAGGAAGGTGAAGATGTAGCAGGTTGGAAGGTAAATGTACTTGTAGGACTCATCCAGCTGACAAGAGTTCATAGATGGTGATGTGGGGGTAAGAGAGGAGTTGGGAGAAGAAGGTGAGGGAGATGAGGGCATGCTGCAGAGGGAAGGTGATTAATCAAGAACTTGACAACATTCCAAGGGTCCAGTGTGTTGAAGCATCTGTAAGGTATAGAAAATAGGACAATAACGTTATTATTATTATTGCATATGCATTTTTAAGACTACCATTTATAAACCATTGTATTACTGTCTAATATTCTTAAATTTTTTTGTTGTTTTGCTAACAAATATTCACAAATGTGAGAAGAATAAATAAATATCGAATACAATATGACATCCTTTCTCCGTGAGGGATACATTATTTAAAGGTACAAAATAGGGGTATGCAAACTTTAGCACTCAAGATATTGTGGACTACATCTCCCATAATGTACTCACAGCCATAATGATGGGAAAGCATTGGGGGGACATGTAGTCCGTAATACCTTGAATGCCGAATGTTGCCTACCTGTGACATAGATAATGCGTTACATAGAAACATATAATGTGACAGCAGATAAGAACCATTCGCCCCATCTAGTCTGCCCAGTTTTCTAAATACTTCCATTAGTCCCTGGCCTTATCTTATAGCTAGGATAGCGTTATGCCTATCTAATGCATGCTTGAACTCCTTCACTGTGTTAACCTCTACTACTTCAGCTGGAAGACTATTCCATGCATCCACTACCCTCTCAGTAAAGTAATACTTCCTGATATTAATTTTAAACCTTTGCCCCTCTAATTTAAGACTATGTCCTCTTGTTGTGGTAGTTTTTCTACTTTTAAAAATAGTCTCCTCCTTTACTGTGTTAATTCCCATTATGTATTTAAATGTTTCTATCATATCCCCCCGTCTCGTCTTTCCTCCAAGCTATACATGTTAAGATCTTTTAACCTTTCCTTGTAAGTATTATTCTGCAATCCATGAACCAGTTTAGTAGCCCTTCTCTGAACTCTCTCTAAAGTATCAATATCCTTCTGGAGATACGGCCTCCAGTACTGCGTACAATAAGTACTGCGTACAATTGAAATGGTGCTGCCCTATGCATGACAGATCTCGGGCACCCCCTAATTTAAATGTACCAGGCCCTTCCTGCCAAGATCACACTTCTTCCTGTTAACTTACACACATTTTAACTGACAGACACACACTCACGGACCAGCACACATGCTCAGATACACTGACATACACTCACAGATTTTAGACACACACTGACAGACGCATACACTCACTGATACGTGCCAACTTACTGACAGACATGCACAGTCATTCAGACACACATATTCACTGGACACACATACTCACAGACAGTCTCTGACTGACAGACACACACACATTCATTGAAACACACACACTCACAGACAGACACACACACTCACTCAAATTCACTGACACACACACACACACTCACTCACTCACATTCACTGACACACACACTCATTCACATTCACTGAGACTCACTCACATTCACTGACACTCACATTCACTGACACACACACTCACATTCACTGACACACACACTCACTCACATTCACTGACACACACTCACTCATGTTCACTGACACTCACTCCCTCACAGTCACTGACACACACACTCACATTCACTGACACACATACACACACACACACACACATTTCCCGCCAACACTCATAATTATTATTATTTTTTTTAATTTAAATTTAACATGCCTCCCTACTTTTGGGATAGCTGGGTGGATTTTTCACCTGGGGTCCAGTGGGGCTGCTGCCCGGGTCCTGGGCAGGAAGGTGGCTAGATGTGTCAGCGACGGAGCTGTGATCTCTCTGCTGAGCTCCCTCATGCGCCGCAGAATGATGCCGGGAGCTGGACTGACGTCATATTCCGGCTCCCGGCATCACTGCGGGTCGCGAGAAGGAGCTGAGCAGAGAGAGCTCAGGGGAAAGTGCTCCCTTGCCGCCTGCCCGGGAAACAACTGGATGCCTGCCCCAGGAGAGCCCAAAGGTGGCAAGCCGGCCAGCTCTTGGGCCCCCATAAAACGAGGTAAACAGCCAAGGCATTTGGGGGCAGCGTTTTTTGCCCTCCCCTGTAAATTCACGCCCAAGGATTAGGACTCTATCAAATAATTTGTACTCTGCCCTTGGGTTTTTACGTCCAAGATGCAATATCTTGCACTTATCCACATTAAATGTCAGTTGCCACAATTCTGACCATTTTTCTGGTTTACCTAAATCATTTGCCATTTGGCTTATCCCTCCTGGAACATCAACCCTGTTACATATCTTAGAATCATCAGCAAAAAGACATGCCTTACCATCAAGACCTTTTGCAATATCACTAATAAAAATATTAAAGAGAATGGGTCCAAGTACAGATCCCTGAGCTACCCCGCTTGTAACAAGACCTTTCTTCGAATATACTCCATTGACAACGACACTCTGTTGCCTGTCACTCAGCCACTGACTAACCAATTAACAATATTGGAATCCAAACTTAAAGATTGCAGTTTATTGATAAGCCTTCTATATCCAGCAGTGTCAAAAGTCTTACAGATTTGCAAAACCAAATTAAAATAGCAAAAGGAAAAAACATCAACATACCAATAAAGTTTCTAAATTTCCTGACCAGGAAGAGACTGTACCAATTAGCTTTTGGTCTATGTTTTCCCCTATGTAGTTGAAATCCTAGCAGCATCCCATCTGTCACATAAGAAGAGTGAGACTGCTCAGTAAACTGGTGGATTCTATACTATGAATACTGTGGACTTTAGTATTGACCTCATAGACATGCTTATTCTTCTCTAACAGGATTTCAGTGGTAGATTCTTGAGAGGCTAAAAGACAGGCCTATACATTGACAAGTCTTCTGAGCTGTCATAGGATAACAACATGGAGGGGAGTTGTGTCAGACTGCTTTAATTTACCACTACATGCATCTACAAGTTTGTTATGTTAAGTTTGTGGTGTTGAAGAGTCTCCCATTGGATTAAAAGTTGAGTACATGGGGTTAAATGAGCAGAGCCCAAAAAAGTAAGTGTCAAACTCCAGCAGTAGAGGCAAGTCCTCCTCCATCTTTAAACTTCACCAGCCACTGCTGCTGCCAACAGTCATGCCAAAGCACCTGCCTCTTATCTTAATCTGCAGACAAGTGGTTTGATGCTTTTACCCACAACCTTTGTATACCAAGGCCGGGTACGGGGAAAATGCCCACTGTCCCTTTGCCAGGGCTCCAGTGCTTTTGACTACAAACAGCAACTCCCAATGAGGCAAAGTTGCTGTTGTACTCTTTAACTCACTCATGACAGAAGCTTAAAGTGTTCATTTTTATAAAAACATAACATTCATTTAAAAAAGCTTTCCTCCGGCACATTTCCTTCACTCTTCAAGCATGCAACCATAACGCCATTTCTGAAAAAGCCCAACCTTGACCCCAACTCCCCATCCAACTACCGCCCTATATCGATACTGCCGTTTGCCTCCATGATCCTAGAGAGAGTTGTGTATGCGAGATTGACAGACTTCCTCGATTCCAACTCTCTGCTTGACCTGCTTCAGTCTGGATTCTGCACTCTTGTCACTCTGTTGAAATAGCTGTGTCCAAAGTATCCAATGATTTAATCGCTGCTAAATCTTGCGTCCATTACTCTATCCTAATTCTCCATGATCTTTCTGCTGCCTTTGATCATTAACAGCTTCTTCTCATTCTCCGTAATCTCGGTCTACGAGATACTGCTCTCTCCTGGTTCAGTTTTTCTTTCTCTGGCTCTGCCTCTGCCTCTTCTCCCCAACCCCTCATTGTTGGCATTCCCCAAAGTTCTGTCCTTGGTCCCCTTCTATACTGTCCCTTGGTAAACTCATCAGCTCCTTTGGCTTCCATTATCATGTATATGCAGATGACACACAAATCTACCTGTACTCTCCTGATCTCTCTCTGCCCATCTTGACTCGTGTCTATGACTGCAACTCAGCGATTCCAACTGGATGGCTGCTCACTTCCTTAAACTCAACCTGTCCAAAACAGAACTTCTGGTCTTTCCTCCCTCAAGAGTTGCTACTTCCGTGTCTCCCTCCCTCCACGTCAATGGTGCCACCATCACCTCTACCTCGCAGTCTAGGTGTTCTCTCTGACTCCAACCCCTCCTTCACACCTCACGTTCAGTCTATCGCCAAATCCTGCCGCTTCCATCTCAAAACCATAGCTCGCATCTGCCCCTATTTAACACCAGACGCGACTAAAGTGCTGGTCCATGTCATTGTTCTTTCTCGCCTTGACTACTGCAATCCCCTTCTCAGTGGTCTTAAGTGTTCCCAGATTGCACCACTGCAATCTATGATGAATGCGGCAGCGAGGCTCATTTTCCTGTCCTCCGCACCTCCCACACCTTCTCCCTCTGTCAATCCCTACAATGGCTTCCAGTTAGATATAGGGTTCACTTTTAGATTCTGGTGCTTGCTTACAAGTCCCTATATAATGCTGCTCCAACCTACCCATCCTCCCTAATACACAAGTATGTCCCGTTGAGGCCCCTGCGGTCTGCAAAAGACCTACGTCTATCCTTTGTCCATACTCCCAGTGGCGTACATACCAGGGTCGCAGGGGTCGCGACTACGACCGGGCCCGGCCCACCAGAGGGCCCGGCCGCCCTGCGACCCGGTATGTACCCACTGGGCCAGCCTCTTCCCACTGGGAGCCGGCCACCTCAGGGCCCCCCGAGGCTGGCCCTGTTGACACCCGGCAGGCTGGCGGGCGCACGAGGGAGCACTCTGCTCTGAGTACTTCCTCATCAGCTCCCTCGTGCACCGCACTGATACCGGAGCCAGAAGATGACGTCATCTTCCGGCGCCGGCATCCCTACGCGGCGCGCGAGGGAGCTGAAGAGGAAGCACTCAGACCAGAGTGCTCCCTCGCGCGCCCGGCCGCCCAGCAGCACCACTGGACCCCAGGGAATCCCCTCAGCTCTCCAAAAAGTAGGGAGGCTGGGGGGATTAAATTTAAAAAAAAAATGTGTGTGTGTTAGTGTGTGTTAGTGTAAGTGTGTTTGTGTTAGTGTGTGTGTGTGTTAGTGTGTGTTAGTGTAAGTGTGTGTGTTAGTGTGTGTGTGTTAGTGTTAGTGTGTGATAGTGTATTTGTGTTAGTGTGTGTGTGTTAGTGTGTGTGTTAGTGTTAGTGTCTGTTAGTGTTAGTGTGTGTTAGTGTTGGTGTTAGTGTGTGTGTATGTATGTTAGCGTGATTGTGTGTGTTAGTGTGTGTGTGTTAGTGTGTGTGTGTGTTAGTGTGTGTGTGTGTTAGTGTTAGTTTGTGTTAGTGTGTGTGTGTTAGTGTTAGAATGTGTGTTAATATGTGTGTCTGCTAGTGAGTGTCAGTGAGTGTGTCTGTTATTGGGTGTGTGTCTGCTAGTGAGTGTCAGTGAGTGTGTCTGTTATTGCGTGTGTGTCTGCTAGTGAGTGTCAGTGAGTGTGTCTGTTATTGCAGGTGTGTCTGCTAATGAGTGTCAGTGAGTGTCAGTGAGTGTGTTAATGTGTGTGTCTGTTACTGGGTGTGTGTTTGTCAGTGAATGTGTATGTTTTGTAAGTGATTGTGTATGTATGTCTGTCGCTGAGTGTGTCTCTGTCAGTAAATGTGTGTGTCTGTTAGCTAGTGTGTATGCGTCTGTTCGTGAGAGTGTGTGTGTGTGTCTTCAGCATTTACCTTTCTCCAGCGCCGGTTTCCCTTGGCGCTGGGGATCCCTCCGCCTCTCAGCTCCGAATGCACATGCGCGGCAAGAGACGCGCATTTAAACCGCCGATAGGAAAGCATTACTCAATGCTTTCCTATGGACGTTCAGTGTCTTCTCACTGTGATTTTCACAGTGAGAATCGCGGAAGCTCCTCTAGCGGCTGTCAATGAGACAGCCACCAGAGGCTGGATTAATCCTCAGTGAAACATAGCCGTTTCTCTGAAACGGCTATGTTTTCAGCTGCAGGGTTAAAACTAGAGGGACCTGGCACCCAGACCACTTCATTGAGCTGATGTGATCTGGGTGTCTGTAGTGGTCCTTTAAGTGTGTGTGCATACCGCGGTCGCAGGGTCGCAGCCCTGCAACCCCTGCAACCCCTGCGACCAGGTGCCCGCCACCATGTGCTGCGGCCCCAACCCATGCCGAGTAAGCGCGGGGGGGGCCCACGGATCAATTTTCGCAACGGTGCCCCATGGGTCATGTGTACGCCACTGCATACTCCCATATCTGATGCTCAACTCCAAGACTTCTCCAGGGCTGCACCTTTTCTGTGGAACTCCTTTCCCTTCTCCATTAGACTTTCACCCAGTCTCCACTCCTTCAAAAAATCTTTGCAAACACACTTCTTCAGGAAAACATATAATTTAAACTGTAAGCAGATTTTTATAACCCTCCATGACTCCTCTCCTGCAACTGTCAAAAATAACTCAGTGAATACTTTTCTGGCAACCTATGTCATTACCCCTACTTTTGTTCCACGATACCCCACTCCCTCTAGCTCATTGAGCAGGGCCCTCAAACCCTCTGTTCCTGTATGTGCATTTGTCTGGTTACAATTTCGTGTCTGTTAGTCCACCCGTTGTACAGCGCTACGGAATTTGCTGGCGCTATATAAATAATAAAATAATAATAATAATAATAAAGCCACACTCTATTTAGTGTTACATAACATAAATAAGGAATTAGCAGCAGACCTCCCACACACGGCTACCCCCACAGATCAAACCTCCCAGGGAGTTACACAAGGGGCCATGCAACCTAAACAAACCACGCTGCCCAAACCCACACCCCAGCAGGGAACCATAGATCCGGCTACCAAGCAGGACCTGCAGCAACTGCAAACCATGCTGCAGGACATACAATGCCTGCTGGCAGCAGACTTACCTGCGCTCAAAACAAGCATGCAACAGATCACAGAGAAAGTTGTCAATACAGAGGGTGAAGTTAGAATGATCCAGGGAAAAATCTCCACGCTGAAAGAGTCCTTCCTCCAGCTGCAACACAGCCACCAACTCCTGACAGTACAAGTGGCAGCACAAGAGGATAAAAACCGACGCAATCACATTAAAATCAGAGGCATACCTGCCTCAGTAAACAAAGAGGACCTACCGCACTATATTAGGAGACTCATGCAATCACTACTACCACCCGCAACGGCAAGGAAGCTCACATTCGCGGGGAAATACTGCATACCAACGCCTCCCAGAGCCGCCACCACGCTTGCAGGAGATGTCATCGTCTGCTGTGTCCTACCCCAAGACAAGGGGCACATCATGAATGCGATCAAAGGCAAGACTCCACTGGATTTCGAAGAGTCCCAACTAACCTTCTATCAGGACTTAACCAAAACCACTCTCCAATGGAGAAAATCACTCAGTGAACTCACCAGTCAGCTGCGTACAGCGGGGATACCATACCGCTGGGGTAACCCACGCTCCTTACTAGTCACCCACAAAGGGACTGAAGCACCCGCACTTCTAACAAAGCTGGGCCTACCGAACAAACCCGACCAAAACACCGCTCAAGCCTGGAACCCAGCAACCGCGGAAATATTCATTCCAAGAAGGCAGAGACTGGACACACAGGCCACCTGACTGGTAGGGGGGGAGAAGTCTCCTACCCCTGCCTGTTCAAAGGCGATACAAAATGTTCATGTTATAAAATGCCTATATACCATTTACTGCACACGAATACTTGTTAATGTTACGACACTAGTTTAATGCTTACTATAAGAGCCTGCTAAAGAAGGCGCTGACACACAATACTGCGTCCACAGAACACGTATCACGGCGCAAGACAGAACACACCCCCCCGACAGCCCCTAGGTTAGGGCTACCACCCCTCATGAGTAGTCTCTATTGAGCTCAAGCCAACTACATCTTTACCGAGAGGTAGAGCATATTGAAGACTTACTCACAGAACTCAACAACCAGCATTGCAACCTCTACCAAAGCCATACTGACCCAAGCAAGGAACCAGAACCATGACCAGCCCGCTGATAACACTCACACTGGGCCAGACCTCCGCAACCGACCCACGGCCCAGGTAACAAAACCACAATCTCCTACGTTAGCTACACATATTCTAGACCTTACTCACCACCTAGGATTATCTGCTTGTTATAACTAAAAGAAAAATTTGTGCTAAGCTCTGACACATGCATTGTATAATCATTGTTGAAATCTGTTAATATATGCTATTATGCATATGGTAAACCTATTGTGGGTTTGCAGCAAGCAAAAATAAAGAATTAAAAAAATAAATAATATTAATGAAATAGTTTACGACCAATAAAATGGGATGCGTTAAACAAACACATTGAATATCTGGCAAACTATGGTGCTGTCCATCTACATATTGGACTTGATGCATTAAGAACCATTTTTGAACAATCTGTGAATGTAGCTCACTCATCACAAAGCAGGGACATGCCACTGATTTCCATGGCAATTGGTCATTTTTAGATATTTTCACCAGAACTGTGCTTTATAAAGAAATAACAAACAAACAAAAAGATAACTACCATTGTCTCTGTGACAATAAGTGGAATTTGGTTTGTAACGCTTACTCTATTTTTTAAAAATGCTTTTTGTGTGTTTCATAATTAAGAATATAATTTTTTATAAGAATAGTTTGCACTCGTGCACCCTGCACAGTGCGATAAACAGATATTTGCCTCCTGTTAACACTCTTCCAGTACTTCCAGACTCAGCATTTCCACCTCATTAATTTCTCTTAATGAGTAACGCAGTCATGGCCTGTGTGACCCCTGAAGCCCCCCCCATTTCCAGTAAAGCAATACCTATTAGGTTGCAACTACTGCACACAGAGACACACATCACACACAGACAGCTTGAAATGCACAAAGATATACAAGTCATGCACAGTCTGCACCAACTGCATGGGGATACCTACATTACACACAGGCAGCATAAAATGTACACATATATGCACATCACACAGAGACAGCATGAAATGTACACACATCACACACAGGAAGCATAACATGCACACAGATACACACATCACACACAGACAGCATGACATGTACACAGATACACACATCACACACAGACAGCTTGAAATGCACAAAGATATACAAGTCATGCACAGTCTGCACCAACTGCATGGGGATACCTACATTACACACAGGCAGCATAAAATGTACACATATATGCACATCACACAGAGACAGCATGAAATGTACACACATCACACACAGGAAGCATAACATGCACACAGATACACACATCACACACAGACAGCATGACATGTACACAGATACACACATCACACACAGACAGCTTGAAATGCACAAAGATACGCACATCACACACAGGCACCATAACATGCACACAGGTATGCACATCACACACAGGCAGGATGAAATACACATATACACAGATCACACACAGGCAGCATGAAATGCACACAGATACACACATCACACACAGGCAGCATGAAATGCACACAGATACACACATCACACACAGGCAGCATGAAATGCACACAGATACACACATCACACACAGACAGCTTGAAATGCACACAGATACACACATCACACAGAGACAGCATAACATACACACAGATACATCACACATAGACAGCATGAAATGTACACAGATACACACATCACACACAGACAGCATGAAATGTACACAGATACACACATCACACACAGACAGCATAACATACACACAGACAGCATGAAATGCACGGAGATACACACATCTCTCACAGACAGCATGAAATGCACACAGATACACACATCACACACAGGCAGCATAAAATGCACACAGATACGCACGCCACACACAGGCAGCATGAAATGCACACAGATACACACATCACACACAGGCAGCATGAAATGCACACAGATACACACATCACACACAGGCAGCATGAAATACACAATATACACACATCACACACAGGCAGCATGAAATGCACACAGATACACACATCACACACAGGCAGCATGAAATGCACACAGATACACACATCACACACAGACAGCTTGAAATGTACACAATATACACACATCACACACAGGCAGCATGAAATGCACACAGATACACACATCACACACAGGCAGCATGAAATGCACACAGATACACACATCACACACAGGCAGCATGAAATACACAATATACACACATCACACACAGGCAGCATGAAATGCACACAGATACACACATCACACACAGGCAGCATGAAATGCACACAGATACACACATCACACACAGGCAGCATGAAATACACAATATACACACATCACACACAGGCAGCATGAAATGCACACAGATACACACATCACACACAGGCAGCATGAAATGCACACAGATACACACATCACACACAGACAGCTTGAAATGTACACAATATACACACATCACACACAGGCAGCATGAAATGCACACACATCACACACAGACAGCTTGAAATGTACACAATATACACACATCACACAAATGTAACATATAATGCATAGCATAATTACATGCAGTAAATTTGTTTTCAATTTTTTGGGGGGGCACCACTGACCTAATATCTGTTCCTGACAGCATCTAGTGAAAGGTGATAAAGACTGCCATGCCAACAAGGATTTGCAAACCAAATTGCAAAATTTAGACAAAAAGTGCTGATTTGGAAATGTTTTTTAAAGTTGGCTATAGTCACGGTTAGGCTGTCTTATTCAATTCATTGCATTTTGCAGTTTATTGAATAACCCCCTTGTATTATGCATCTCTTTTCTGTTGTTATTGTGCGTTTTTATTTATTTATTTATTTTACCCTTTGGAATCCAGTTCTCAAAGTCCAGAAATGAATTACTGGAATAAGTCACTAGCTAAGTCGGAGCTTCCAGTACGTTGTAGGAAATGGAAATGCAAAATGGGGATAAGGTTATGTGTCCTTTTCTGTGAAAGCATCTAAAATGTTTTCCTAGTTGATGATAAGCCTCATAAAACATAGCTCCCAACGTTTAGGCCTACTGGGGGGGTGAAGTGAAGGTCACTTGCGCGTGCGATGCTAAACTAACAAAACGAGTGCTGGGCACAGATTAACCAGCTGCGCATTCACTGCATCTTGCGTGTATGTACAACATTGATTAATTGGTATGGTACAGGCACCTGCACATACTCAGCCTGTTGGTTATTCAAGCCGACATGCACACAACACATTGGGTTATTGGTTTCTGCCTGCACAGCATGTAATTAGATTGCTAATATACAGCATGTTGTTTAATCAGGCAATGCGCAGACATTGATGAACTACAAAGATTAACATATCAAATCGGAATCCGTTTTTGCTCATTTACAAATCTCAGGTTGATTTTTTTTTTGGGATTATCATGCTAGTCTTATACACCTACCAAAAACTCCTTCACTGAAAGGCTATTCCATGTATCCACTACCTTTTTTTAAAATTAGTATTTTCTCATATTCTCCCTAAAACTTCTAATCATGTCCCCTCATTCCAATATATGTCTGTGTACTCATTGGTGTATTTTGGATTTGTGCTGCCCTAGGCACAACTAAATTCGGGCATCCCAAAATCTAAATTTGCCCCCCCCCCCCCAATTCTTGTCAAGGCCTTTTTTTTTGATTGACAGACACATGCCCTCATTGATACCTGCACTGATATACACTCACTGACAGATACACTGTCATTGGCACACAAATACAGTCATTGGCACACACTGTTTAACCAACACATACTTTCACTGACAGACACACACTGACAGGCACACACTCTCAGATACACATAAAATTACATACACACACTGACACACACTCACAGGCACACCCATTCTCACTCACAGACACATACTGACAGCTACACTCACTCACTCACAGTAAGGTGGACAGCCCCAGAACATGAGGCAAACAAGGCATTTGTCTGGGAGCTTGGGGTGGCATTTTTTGGCGCCCCTCCTGAAAGTGCTGCCCTAGGCAAATGCCTTGTTTGCCTTGTGGTAAATACATCCCTGTGTGTACTGAAAATGCTGCTCCCTTCCTATTTCCCCCCCCCCCTAACATATTCGAAGATGTCTATCTTGCCCCATTTATAATTTTGCCTCAATAAAGAGACGTATAATCCTTTTCTGGTATGATTTTCTACAATAAAACCTCAAATTACTCAGCATATTTACAGAGAAATTTACTAAACAAGGAAATGTGTAGAATTGACCTTGGCATCGGATCCTCATTTTATTGATCACAAAAACCATTTGACACTTTGCATAAATTTGATACTGTACTCGTACCTTCCAACATTTCAAAAGGACAACGAGGGGCACTTTAATTTTAGGGGTGTCAGTGGGGGTGTGGCCAGGTTTAGGTGGCTTACTAATAACAATTTACGCAACTAAAATGCAATTTAGAACAACAACAATGTATCTTATTTCTAAACACATTTATTGTCGTTTAAAGACACTACGGTGAGCTTTATTGTTGTGGAGCTCTGTTATACACTCAGACACACCAACAATATGGAGCTCCTAGAAAAGAGGGGCAGAGGGATTTGGACACATAATAGGGACTGTCCTTTCTAAATAGGGACAATTGGGAGATATGATATACTTGATACAGAAACCTTGTTGCTATCTGTTTATTAGCCACAGGTGAAGATATCGATTCCACATGCTTGATGCACGAGCGTTGTCTTTATATCGCAGTGTATCAAGCAAATCTTAGAAAAGTTAAAACCTTTCATGTAAAACATGGCAGAAGATATAACTTCTGTATGACATGCATATATTTATTTTGCCATATGGTGGCTTTGCTTATGCAAACGTTTTCTATCACAACATCTCAGCACTGACACACGATACTGAGCTTCAAACACACATGAAAAACACCAACGTCATTGATGTATTGAGAGCTTGCGTAGTCACTCAAAGGGAGATTTACTAAACTGTGAAAATCTGGAGCGACACAATATCTCTGGTCATATTATTTTATGTAAAGTCCTATCTCTAAGTGGGTGAATCAGGTCCCCACGGACCCCCACTCCTCCCTGTAATTCCCCTTCTCACATTATGGAGCCCTTAATGCTTAATATATTCTGAAACTGTATGTCAGACTTAAACATGCAGGGAATATGAAAGAACATTATGCAGATTATATATATTTGTATTTTAGTTGCATTATATCTAACTATAAATTGAAGAGTATTATAACAGAATAATGTTAATATGCTCAACAGGAGGAAATTTCTCTATAAAACTGAACTATACATAATATAATGTTTCCTGATTTCAAATTGAAGGTCATAATAGCCAAAATTGAAACATTCACTGCTACCTTTTGGCTATTCCAGATTTAAATATGAAGTTCCCTTTGAAATTCACTATGAATTCTCACATTAGTATATAACTTGCATATCTTGGACAGGATAGCGAGAGGCGATCGTGATAACTACACCTTAACCCCTTAAGGACACATGACATGTGTGACATGTCATGATTCCCTTTTATTCCAGAAGTTTGGTCCTTAAGGGGTTAAACCATTTAACCCATTTAAGGACAGGGGGTAACACCAGGTAATAGATTGATTTGGAGGACAAATTAAATTACTGAAATGCATTGTTTAACACTAAGAAGTAATTGGAAACCCTTTCCGTCTTATGCAAACCGTAAAAAGGAAACAGACCGTGAATTATAAAGAAAGATAGAAAGATTATTATTATCAGAAGAGAAAGTAAAGCTCTTATATCCACTCCCTTCGTATTTGCCTATTAATTAACACATTTTCCACTATTCTTCCCAGCCGTTCCAACTCTTGTGTGCACCTGCTTTACTTGTTATCCATACCCTGTTTCACAAGTACTCACCAGCTCCCTCTCTGAAGTTTGGGTGTCACCGAGATAATGTCAGCTCGTAGGATGGAACATCACTCGGGACAGTCTACCGTTGGTTGTCTATCCAAGCACGAGCCGCTGTACTTGATCTGTAGCTCTACTTTTTCAAGTCTTTCTATGTCTTTGTAGCCTCTTCCTAGACTTGTAGCCTTCACTGTCTCTATCGTTCTGCTTGTCTTTCCCTTTTTCTCTCTCTCTCTCTTCAATTTGAACTTCGCTCTTTAAGGATCACTGCCCGTCAGTGATTCTCATTATCTCCATCTCTTTCAAATGGATGAACTGCCTCCCCCTTCCAATAAACTCCCTGCTCCTACAACAACCTGGAGCCCCTATGCTTGAACCCATTCACATTATACCTGCATTTGGGGAAATCCCTGCAGATGGTAGCCCCCCCCTCCTTATATGTATCCATGTGGCATGAGATCATTAAGTGCATTTGCTCACTCCAAGTTAAACTTGACAATTGATACAGATTTCCACTGGCAATGCCTTGTTCTAAATCGGTAAATAAAGCCCGATCTTGTTTTAAAGTACTCAATATATTTAGCCCTAGAGAGCGCCAGCTGTTTTAGTAACACCTTATTTGATTACCCTGCAATTATGCTGCTTGGGTTTGGAAGAAACATCAGTCTAAGCAGCAACGGGCAGCTCTGGTTGGCTGTGAGTGTCATCTGACTGATTTCCACTTATCAGAGCACCCATTGCTGGAATTCATGGTAATATGGCTGCCTCGGTTAGGTGCTTACAGTTAGGGCAGGGCTTTAGTGTTAAATTGCTCAGAAATGGTTTAACACTGAGTGAAGACACAGCACCAGATGATTCCTGGCCCTATAACCAATTCAATGAGATGAAATGGTAATGATGTGTATAGTGTCCCTTTAAGGCCTAAATATCTTCCTTACAGGTATGTGTGGGTAGTATACATCATTTTCCAGGTAAAAGTGTTGTTTTAGGAACTGCACAAGGGGTTTATTTTGACAGTAAATACACATGTAAGTAGTGGAACTTCTCCAGTTGTTATGTTTATCCCCTTCCCAACCGCGGACGTACTGGGTACGTCCGACAAAAAATGTCCGTTAACGACCGCAGACATACCCAGTACGTCCGCAGCAAAAATCACCCCTGGACTTACCTGGATCGGTGATCCCGGTCTGGGGTACTGCCCGAGACCCCAGCAGTCCCCCTGCAGCATTTCCATCGACAGTGGCCCTCCAGGGCCATGTGGTCACCATGATCACATTGCCAGCAGGGGGACTGTCTGAGCTGCCAGGCAGTCCCCCTGACACCTAAAAGTAAAAAATAAATTAAAAAAAATAATAAAATTTATATATTATACACATATTATATATGTATAATATATTATAAAATAATTAAAGCATTTTATAATATATTACACATATATAATGCATATATATGATTGCATTATAAGTGTACTTTGAGATATATACACATATCTCAAAATACACTTACAATGTAATCACATATATGCATTATATATGTATAATATATTATAAAATGCTTTAATTATTTTATAATATATTATATATATATATATATATATATAAAATAAAAGCGTGTGTGTGTGTATATATATATATATATATATATAAACACACATACACACACGTATCTATCTATCTAGCTATCTATATATATTCTATATATTTATCTATTTACTATAGTGACACCCCGAAATTTACAGGGGATACGTTCCAAGACCTCCCCGCAAATTTTGAAAATGCGCAAATTTTGAACGGACAATAATATTACTGCCCGGGAGAGAAAATAACTTTAATAGGGGGTGAAATCTTTATCAGGGAATCACTAGTGGTGAGTCCATGATAAAGATTTCACGCCCCTACCCCATACCATGCACTTACCTGGTCCTGGGAGCTCCTCTCTCTTTCCTCCCCCGCGGCCGTCTGCAAAGAGCGCTGGGAGGAAGCGATGTCACCGCGTGTGACCTCACTTCCTCGCAGGGGTCACGGTTACAACTGCTGGACCCGAGGAAAAAAAATACGTGAATTTGTGTAGCTGCAGATTCAGAAGCTTGGATTTTCAGGGTATTACTGTACATAATTATTTAATTTTATTAATTATAATTTGAGGGACCTGCCTGACAACCCAGGCAGACAATCCAGAGAATTTAATTGGCAAGCCCTATATTTAACCCTGCAACTTTCCAAAACATCATAAAACATTTACATGGGGGGTATTGTTATACTCGGAAGACTTTGCTGAGCACAAATATCAGTGTTTTAAAAAGTAAAACTTATTACGACGATAATATCACCAGTCAAAGTGCAGTTTTTGGTTTAAAAAAAATTAAATTTTTTTTTATAAAAACGCTAACTTTGGCCAGCGGTTTTGACTAAGTGGCTACTACAAAAGACTGGAAATACCCCATTTTGAATACCCTGGGTAGTCTAAATTTGAAAATGGTATGCCATGATGAGGTTAATTCACATTCCTGGGCTACCATATGGTCTCAAAAGGCAACATAGACCCAGCAAAACAATCTGGCAAACTGAATTGGGCAAGCCCTATATTGACCCTGTAACTTTTCAAAACACCATAAAACCTGTACATGGGGGGTTATTGTTATACTCGGGAGACTTCGTTGAACACAAATATTTGTATTTAAAACAGTAAAACATATCATGATGATGAAATCACCAGTAAAAGTGCAGTTTCTGTGTAATAAAATGCAAAAAACAAATATGAACATTAATTTTGGCCAGGGGTTGTGACAAAGTGGCTACTAAAAAAGACATGCCCCATTTTGAATACCTACTTTTACAAATGGTATGCCATCATGGGGTTCATTTTCATTCCTGGGCTGCCATACGGTCTCAAAGGCAACATAAGCCCAGCAAACCAATATGGCAAATTTCAATGTGCAAACATGGAAAATGGGAAAGCCATACATTTGACCCCTGTACATTTGCAAAAACCCATAAAACCTATATATTGTGGGCACTGTTGTACTCAGGAGATGTTGCTGAACACATATTGGGGTGTTCTTTGTCAGTAACATATAACAGGTACTGAGAATCCATGTCCAAAGTACAATATGAGAGAAAAATAACACAAAAGAATAACTACCCAAAATTTTGACAAAGACTGGTGGTAGAACTAGTGCATGGATTTTTTTTTTAACATACCACCATTTGAAATACCCTGGTGTGTCTACTTTTCAAAAATATATGGTTTGATGGGGGTAAATTACATTGGCCGGCTTCATAAATGTCCCAAATAGGACATGGGTGCATGATGACCAGCTGTGAAAATTCCAAGTTGGAAAACTGGAATGCCCACCCTCCAAATAAGGTATTTTAGCCCTCAGAGAACTCTACACACGTATACACGGGTGGTATCACTGTACTCAGGAGATGTTGCTGAACACATATTGGGGTGTTCCTTGGCAGTAACCTTTAAAGTTCTCAGTACATGTATTCTTAAATTGCTATGTGTGTCAAAAAAATCACCAATAATTTTTTAAAAATTTTTTAAAATTTGGCATAGATTGGTGGTAAAATGGTTGCATGAAAATAGTTAAAATACCCCAAGTTTAATACCTTAGCTTGTCTTCTTTTACAAATATATACATGTTATTCAGAGATTTCTGACAGATATCAGTGTTACAATGTAACGCGTTAATTTGGAAAAAAAAAAATGATTTGGAAACAGAAAAGGGCTACTTTTACTTATTGCCCTATAACTTTCCAAAAAAAGCTAAGAACATGTTAACATTGGCTATTTCTAAACTCAGGACAACATTTAGAAACTATTTAGCATGGGTATATTTTAGCAGTTGTAGATGCATAACAGATTTTGAGGGTCAAAGTTAGAAAAAGTGTTTTTTTTTTCCATCATATTTTATAAAAAAAATTATAGTAAATTATATCATATGATACAAAACAATGGTATCTTTAGAAAGACTATATAATGGCGAGAAAAACGGTATATAATATGTGTGGGTACAAAGTAAGTAAATGAGTAAGATGAAAATTGAAGATTATACTAGCATAGTGTATTAATAAACGTAATTTTTGTAATGACAGGAGGCGAGTAATTTGCATTAACTTTCTTTACTAACTTCATAGCAGCAAAGAAAAAAAAACAGGTAAAATAAAGAACCAATCAGAACACAGTCAGAGTGTATATAAGTGAAAGCATATCCGCATCACTTCCTCCTGACACATGCAACATCAGAACTAAACGAGAAACTTTGTACAAAATCCAACTTCAGCCTTGAATGTGATAATGGAAACAAATTCCTCCCATAGACGGGTTACGCTGAAAGAAAATAAACTAGGTTCAGTGATACAGAATCGACCGTATGAATATAGTACAGTGAGCTAATTAGATGTCAATGTACCTGACAGAGATCTAACATTATCCGAAGTTAACATACTAGAGTAATATACCCATGACAGAATGAAATTTCTCTATATGCGAATTTCTCACAAACCTATAATGTATACACATAAGGTACTACAAACCCCCAATATCCTGTGATCAGGGTGGGATGAACAACATACAAAAAGGTGGGGAGAATACTCGCCTCCTGTCATTACTAAAATTAAGATTATTTATACACTTCGCTAGCATAATAATTAATTTTACCACATGAGAAGAGGCTTCATATTTTGCGATTTAAATGCTTAGTAAGAAGAGAAAATGTGGCGTTAGACGACAGTCGGTTAAAGAATGTCCTAAACATGGATTCATGAGACCAGTCTGCCACTTGTAAGATGTCTGAAAGTGACGTGCCTGCCATAAAAGCCGACGATGCTGCGGCTCCGCGAACAGAGTGGGCACCAAAAGTTGGGTCTATCCCAGGCAACGTAAGTGGCCATCTAATCCATCTGCACAGAGTGGTGACTGAAACCAGACCGTGAAGACTGACATATGAAACCAGCAGATGTTGGGATGATGCCGTGAGCAACTTCTCCGTCGCCTTCACATATGCCTGCAATGCTGATACCACTCATAATTCGGGGTCCGAGGCAAAAAACGGGTAGAAGACCAACAATGAATCCGATTTAGTCCGTCGGGAAATACGGAACGTGACTCCCTCCGGAGTGACCAAAAAGGACGCACATCTGAGACTCGTCGGAACGAGACGAGGCACAGTAGAGATGTAAATTTGGCCGTCAATTGTTATAGGTATAGGAGTTTGTTGGATGGCCATCCTCTCAAGAACCAAAGCACTACGTCCACATCCCACAGATGTTGATATTTGGGAGTTGGAGGCTGCCTAAGTTTGATGCCTCGTAGCAGTTGGCAGATCAGGGGGTCTTGTACCTCCCAGGTGGTTGATGTAATGTACAGCAGAGAGACGATCCATCCGGACGAGAATACAGCAGCTGGATTGCCCCTTTGCCAGGCTGCGAATGGCGAAGGATCCGGCCAATAATTCCAAGCAATAATTCCAAGCAGTTGTGGTGCATCTTGAGCTCCTGGGTTGTCCATGCACCTCCCGTGGATGCGCCCCCATCGGTTGCTCCCCATCCCCACCTGCTGGCGTCCGACTCCAGTATGAAGTCTGGTTGGCTGCCAAAGATGACTCGACCATTCCATGTTTGCATGCAATTGAGCCAGCATTCTTTTTGTCAGCGGAACCAGTTGGTTGTATGTCGGGTCTTTTTTGAGGAAGCGGACTTTCAGCCATTGCAGTGGGCCTGGGAATATGCCCTGGATTCAGGAGGATAGCAGGCCAACTATCCGGGCGAGTTGTCTGAGCAGGATGGAGTAGCGTTTGAGGACCTTGCGGATCTACTTCTGAATGGCCATCACTTTTGAAGACAGCAGGTGAAGCGTGCAGGACCGAGAGTCTATTTCGAAGCCCAGAAATTGAATAGTCTGAGTGGGAATAAGTGCAGCCTTGGCCCTGTGGACTATGAATCCCAGAGATTCCAACAAGAATACCGTATATCCGGTATGTTGTAATAGGAGGTTGCTCTTCCTGCAGAACAGGAGGATGTCTTCCAAGTATATAATGCATTGGATCCCTCGTGTTCTGAGGTGGGCCACTACTGGATTTAGCATCTTTGTGAAACACCATGGTGCAGAGCTGAGACAGAAAGGGAGGCAAGTGAACTGCCAGAGGATGCCCTGCCATAGGAACTGATAGAAAGAACAACTGTCTTCATGGATTGGGACTGCCAGGTATGCGTCTTTGAGGTCCAGATGCATAAACCAGTCCCCTTCTTGTAGGAGGTCCTGGAGGAGATGGATTCCCTCCATCTTGAAGTGACGGTATATAACGTGTAAGTTTAGATCCATTAGATTGATCACTGATCTCTGAATTTGCCAGTTTTCTTGTGAATGAGGAACATGTTGCTGAAGAAACCCTCTGGTCCGTATGTGGGCTAGATTGCACCTTTCGTGCGTAATTCGCGGACAGGGCTGACGCTTCCTATAATGGGCCAATGGGCGCCCTCTTTGCTGGCCATTCTAATGCTGCAGCCGCCTGAGCGCTCTATAGAGGGCCTCAGGCGGCTGCAGCACTGCCACTCACCTCCCCTTCCCTGTGTATGCTACACAGGGAAGGGGAGGTGAGGAAACAAACAGGGGGGAGGTGGAGGAGAACAAACAAGGGGGTGAGGAGAACAAACAAGGGGAGGAGAACACAGGGAGGGGGGGGAGGTGAGGAGAAAGGGAGGGGTGAGGAGAGAACACTGGGGTGAGGGAGACCACTAAGGAAGGTGGTGGGGGAAGAACAGAGACCACTAAGGGAGGAGGGGTGGTGGAGGAGAGACCACTAAGGGAAGGGTGAGAAGAGACCCCTAGGGGAGGGTGGGTGAGGAGAGACCACTAAGGGAGGGTGGGGGGAGAGCAGAGACCACTAGGGGAGGGGGGGTGAAAAGAGACAACTAATGGAAGGGGGGTAGAGGAGAGACCACTAATGGAAAGTCAGGGAGAAAAGGAGAGACCACAAAGAGAGGGGAGGAGAGTTGAGACCACTAAGGGACAGGGGAGGAGAGGACAGACCTCTAATGGGCAGAGGAGAGCTCTAAGGGATGGAAGGGAGAGTACTATAGGACAGGGGGCAGGGCAGGGAGCTCTTTCACACTACGCAGGCACACAATGCATCCCTATACATACACAGAAACACACAATGCATCCCTACACACAGAGAAACACACAATGCAGCCCTTAAACATAAAGACAATGCATCCTTTGCACACATACACAGAGACACACAAGGCATCCCTTACACAAAGCCAGAAACACACAATACATCCCTTATACACAAACACACACTGCTTTCTATCCCTTACACAAACACACACTGCTTCTACTACACACAAACACACTGCATCACCTACACAAACTGGTATCCCTATACACTACATTCCATAAGCGCACACATTAGATCCTCTACGATAACACATAACACATCTCCTACACACTCCATTCCCTGTGAGCGAACTCATGGGTGGAACATGTAGGTGGACTTATGAGTGGGCCGTATGGGCATACTTGCCGTCAGGCCCTGGGGCCCAGACCTTGAGCTGTGTAAGGGGCCCCAAAAATGGAGCTGCTTCCCATTCTCCCAGAACATTTTGTGACCACAGTTACAAACAGCCTCCAGAGATCCTGTTCTACACCAGACCAGTGAAGCCAAACTGTAGCCAGAGCACATCACAATCCTCATCTGGTTGTAAGTAGGCAATCTAGTATATTATTAGTGACACTAATCTCTAATCTACCTCACACTAAAGGGACACTATAGTCCCCAGAACCACTGCATGCTTTTTAATGTAAACACACACTGTGTGCAGCACTGGCGTTAGTTCATCTGGCAGATAATATGGGTGGGGCATTTTGATGTCACATGGGGGGGACAAAACAAAACCCTCTTTGGGTCCACTCTCTGATGTCATGCTCCCACTTGCGCACCATATCCGCATCGAAAGAGTCTGCATCATCCGCCAGGTACATAACACGGGCCAGAGGCCCCATCATGTCTAGGAGTTTATCCTGTGCACCCTGGAAGCCCCTTTCGAACCCCTCTGCGAGGGTCTCGACCTCCATGTGTCATAATGCCAGCATGAGTTGGTCAAGCTCAGGCGTAAATGCAACAATGGTATGGAGCATTCGGTCCTCATCCTCTTGTGGATGCTTTTGTCCAGGGGTTTCCGAATCCAAAAGTGTATAAACTTAATGAGGTGTTCTGGTGGAGTCTGCTCCCCAGAGCAGGGATGCCTGATTTTCCTGGGGTTGAACATCCTCTGCCACGTAGTGTCCAGGAAAACCTCCTGGTAATGTACAGTGGATGTCTCTGTTGTCCCTGCATCCTCCTTACTCTGGGGCTCACTCAGAAAGGTCTCCCTGACTTAGACGTTGGAGCCCCAATTGTGTACCTCTCTTTCCACATCCGAGGAATCATCTGGAATAGGAGGAGGGGTGGTCATTGTTGGGCGCTTATTGCGCTTATCAGGGACCTTCCTTGAGCCCTCACCCTTCCAATGGCGTTTTGCCAGGTGTGCTCTCTCTCTGGAGGCATCATATGACTCGTCTGAGTCGTCTCTGGCTTGGAAGCACTTTGGGGCCGGCTTGACAGGATCAGAGGCCGTTGGGAATACTTTGGCTATAGCTTTTTCCAGAGATGCGGCCACCGCCTTCAGATCCATGGGGTTTTGGGTGTCTTCCATGATATATGGGTATGAATACTGCTGCTAACAGACACAGGTATGAGAGGTATAGGGACAGGTCGGGAGGGATGTATGCAGGCCTTTACTCACTCACAGCCTAATGGCGTGGGGTAATAAGCAGACTCTTATTATGATCACTGGGGCTCACCCAGGAAAATTGGAACTGCAAATACAGATTCCATTCAGCAGCACTCTGGGTACTAACCAAAAGGGGGCTCACCCCTTTCCAGAATACTAGGGTAAACCTGACTGGCAGTCCCACTCCCTAGGGGTATGACACCAACCTGACCAGGTCCCTGACAGCATGCACAGCACAGATTGACAGCAAAAAAATCAGGGAGAGCCTATTATTGATGGCAGCAATCACCGCATCTAACACACCAACAAGATGGCCGCAACGGGTCTCGTGAGAGCCGAGGCTAAAATGGTGCTAAAAAGCCAGCGAAATGCGTATGCGGGAAACAAATGGAGAATCCCGCGAATGGACCCTGCGAACGGGCAGCTGCGAACGGCCAGTTCATGCACAAACTACCGAATGCCTATGCAGAGTAATAGGCGCGAACGGGAAAAACCTGTGAATAGCCCGTTCTCGTCTATATACACGAATCAATAACGCATTGAAAACAATGCGAACAGCGTGGGAGACCCGAGGAAAGTGTTGAACGTGCACAGCTGTCATATACATGATTTTCCATTAATATGAGAACTATGAATGAAGCTAGTTGGCAAGCTCTAGCTACTGGTACAGTTGTTTAAACACGTGGCTCTTTTAAGCATGCCCTGCATCAGCGGCTAATCCATGAGGAATCTCTTCTATAGGCACCAAACCCTAGACCCTTTGTCTATTTGAATTATCCATTCAAAATATTAGTATCAGTTTTACTAACTACAGTATATAACAATAACTATATGTTAGTGAGTGACTATTTAATATTGTACTGGTGTTTGTTACTTTACATTCTTATTTTGTAAATGTTTTAATTATAAATAGACACACTAAGCAGAGGTACAGAAGATGCACTGAGCATATCTGGGGCATTTTAACAATAGCCCATTAAAAGGTATGCTTTGTCTAATAATCATATTGGCCCCGATAAAGGTACAGCCAAACTTAGTGTTATAAACAATGTAATTATTTAATCCAATAAAGAAAACAAAGGAGAATTAATAACCTGTTTTCAGTAAACATAATATCATTAGCGGTTCCACTCCCAGTAAGCACCATTCCATGAGAGAGCTTGCTTTTAATAAGCATCATCCCATGAGAGGTCCTGCTTTCAGTAAGTATCATTCAACAAAAGATCCTGCTGCAATTAGGCATCTTTCCATTTGAGGACCCACTTCCAGTAAGCATCATTCTATGAGAGATCCTGCTTCCATCAAGCATAAATATTCACAAACTACAAAATAAATGTGGGTCAATGTTGCCCATAGGATGGTACTTCTGTTGCACTTTGGCAGACTTGGTTGAATGGCTCACAGTGGTATCTGTTAATGAGACATACATTGTATTTAGGCTTGTTGTTCCTCTTTGCTTACTGCTATATTTTTTCGATGACTCCCACTGTTTCATTTGCACATTCCCTTTTGTCCTAATTTCACACCACTTAATATTCAGAAGAGCCTAGGTAATAGTACATCAGCCCACCAGACCTCATTTCTTGAAAGTATATCATTCAACAGTAACGATATAGGGAATGTTTTTATTTTGAATTAAAATCTTTAAGTTAACTATAAAAGGTGTTCCCTTTCATTTGGATCATTGACGCAAAGCAATATATATGAGATTTTAAACAAGGACCATTACCGTCATGTGTAATGTTTCAAAATATCAGGGGGTCAACAGGATGGTTGTCATCAAGGCAAGACTAGTAAGTCTTTGCAGCTACCTGGCACCAATAATCGAGGGTTCCTGGGTCTGGAATTAATTATAAGATTGTGCAGAAAGTTATCACAATTTTTTTAATATTATGGTTTTAGCTGATAGACTTGGGTGCCGACTACATTTTTGTTTCATCTGAACATATTTGGATGAAAACATTTTTTAGTTTTGTCGGAACCGTATTTTGTCCCTTTGTCCATTCATTTTTGCATGAAATTCAGTCATTATTTTAGTTTTTGAATTTCATTAAGACTAATGAAAGCCTTATAAACCTTGACAACCAATTAAAATTCCCTGATAGGTAAATCTTCAGACTGACAGGTTAGTCTCAAGAGTTATCTTTCAGAGTATTCTGGTTTACATGTTCATGCAAGGGTTAGAAATGCATATGATTCCTGCTATATTAGTAAAAATGTTTAACACAAACTCATTTTTATTTTGAAGGGAGGGAAATGATGTTCACATATGGTGGGAGTGTAATAAGGTAGAGATCATTGGAGTAATTTATTTGACTATCTCGAAAGCATGTTGAAAATTAAGTTAAATAGATCACCACAGGTTGCCCTGCTCCACGTGGAAAAGCCAATTCTTGAATCAATGGAAAGATGTCTAGTAAATATTGTTTAACAGCCTCTAACATAGTAATTGCTCGTTACTTGAAATCCCAAGCAAGATTTTCATAAAAAGTTGTGGTAAATCAACTGAATTTCCAAATTCTAATGGAGTTGGCCACCTGTGGGATGTATTTAATTCCCTTTAAATAATATAAAATGTGGGCCAGTTGGTAAAATAAGCTAGTGACTAGATGAAGAAGGTTTTTAGACTCAGAGATGCACATCAAACCTATCTATATATATTTAATCAGCATCTCCTGTGTTTGCTTCCCATGGACCCAAATAGTTCAGCTTTCTGTCTGCATATCTCATTTTACTTTAGATTTTTTCCATTTCTCTTTATTTTTCTAATGTTCTTATGGTTCCCTAACATGTCAATCTGTGCTAATTATATATATAAGCCTATAAAATTTTATTGTCAATTGATGGCTTGTTAATTTTTTTTTTTTTTAAATTCAAGCAGTCCTCTAGTTCCATTCCATGGTTTTAGGTAAAACTGTTTTACAATGGCTTGCCTTTTACCTGTGTCCCTGATTTGCTCCTAGGCTCCTTTCAGATCTGGTGATTCTGGTGTAACTCTGCAGAACCTGGATGCTGATTCCACAGCTTTGTTTTGACTGAGAGGCTCAGAAATTACACTATTCAGCCTGGAACTCTGCCGTAGGTGTTTACAGGTTTTAAACAGACACTGTGGGCACTGTATCTACTTTATCTCATTACAATGTGTGCTGCTTTGACAATTGAGGAAGTATTAGCAGCAATGGGCAGCTATGATTGGCTGAGAGTGTCAGCTGACCGCCTTTATCCAATCAGAACTCCAACTGTTGGTATGAAGGGTATGACTACAAGGAAATGTGCAATCTTTGCCTTAGCTGCAACTCCAGAAGGGACTAGACTGTGGCTGGCCAGATACCCCTATTTAGTGTTAAACTGCTCTAAAATGGTTTAACTCTGAATGGAGGGACAGTGCCAAAGGACACCAGGCACTACAACCAATTCAAAGAGATTAAATGGTTATAGTGACTACAGTGTCCCTTTAACCCCTTAAGGACCAAACTTCTGGAATAAAAGGGAATCATGACATGTCACACATGTCATGTGTCCTTAAGGGGTTAAACTCTTGATGTGCAGTTTTTCAAATAAAATGCTGCACATACAAACTCGAGGCACCATGACCAATTTCAAATCACTTAAGTGGCCATAATATTTGTAGTAACTGTTTAAGTAACTGATAATTAGCTATAAAATATAAAATAGTGGAACAGCTCAAACACAAAAATACAGTTTTAACATCTTACAAGACTACTTAAATTCACCTATCTCAGCAAACACATATGGGTAGGGGAGTGTCTAATAGCACAGGGCAGCATTCCATATAAGAGTATGAGCCTAAAAAATGTGGAATCTATTTACAAGCAGATGACAGTTGAAGAACACTCACCGAGTAAAGTGAATGAGAAAGGTTGTATTTATTAAGAAAAGAGGGCATGTGTTTGAGAAGTTAGAGATAGAGCAAAGGTTGAAAAGATGAGGTGTAGGGTTTTGCTGGCTATTTATATAAAAAAACAAATGCATTGAGTAAAGCTAAAAGAGGAAGTAATTGATATAAATCTTTAGGCTGATGGTGAAGCCACCAAATATAATAGATGGAATGTCAGAAGAATGAATGTAAAGAAGCCAAGCAGAAAAACTAAGAAAGTGTAGAGGATAGCACGGGAGACACTAGATACGGTCAATGCAAGCTGAGAATAGATAGAAAAGATGAATGAAGGGAACCTCAAAAAAGGAAAAGAAGACAAGGGGGTAAAGGAGGAAGCTTCAAGGAACAACGAGGAGAGAACAAATGACTCAATTGCCACCACCCTTAATATCGCATAAGTTAGGTGCAATCCACCCTAGGATAGGGAGCCTTGGATAGCTGTGCAGAGTTAGAGAATCAGGTTAAGATGGTTGGAGCCAGTGAAGCAACAGATAGGGTGATGCTGAGAAAAGTAGATTGGGCGTAATTAATGCAGGAGATTATATGCATACTGCTAATTGGGGGTATCTGCTGATGACAGTAGTTAAGCAATGTGAGGAGGCCATAAAATAAAACAGAACCTTGGGATGAGTGGGAGGAAAGAGAGTGCTACTTGGTTTGTTTATGAGACTATTGCCGTAAAAAGTTAAAAGATAAGAGGCTCAAATACGTGCATTTGGGATGGGGCATGCACTAGGAATTAATGGGTCATAGAGTTGACAAGAAACATATTTAGGACTGGTAGCATAGATACCATGGCAGAACTATTTTCTCTAAACTAATCTGTAAGTTAAACATATTGCATAGAATTATGGTATGGAAATCTAAAACCATTTAAAATAGTGTACAGGCAAATAGAATATACAGCAGATAAAGGTGGAGTGAGCACTAGCTGACCCAGGTGTACTTTGTTAAGGTAAGGCAGACTCTTAACCCCTTAAAGACCGAGGACGGTTCTAACGGTCAGATGTACTTACCCGATCGCCTTATAGGTGTCCATGTGTCTGCCTGCAGGGGGACTGTCTGTGCTGACAGGCAGTCTCCCTGCTAGTGTAAAATAAAAAATTAATAAAGGTACATGTTAATAAAAAAAATAATAATTATATGTCTATATATCATATATATAATGTCATGCTAAGTGTATTTTTATATTAATATGTACATATATATATAATTAAATTACACACGTGTATATATAATATATATAACTATATATATTTTATATATATGTATTATTATAAAATACAAATAAGTAATTTTAATTAAAAAAAATTAAAAAATAATAATAAATTAATTATCTATATGAAATTTTATTCTAACTGTATTTTGATATTAGTATATATATATTTATATCAAAATACACTTAGAATGAAATTGTATATATATCTATGTATATATAAATAAATATACATATGTCCATATACAAAATTACATAAATAATTATATAAATATACACGTAGACTTCAAATATATAAATATGCATATATATTTAAATTCTACGTGCATATTTATGTAATATTTTACATAATTAAGTAATTTTATTGATTGCAATTTGAGGGACCTGCCTGCCAACCCAGGCTGAAAGTCCAGAGAATTTAATTTGCTAGCATTATATTTTACCCTGTAACTTTCTATGACACCCTAAAACCTGTACATGGGGGGTACTGTTTTACTTGGGACACTTCGCTGAACACAAATATTAGTGATTCAAAACAGTAAAACATATCACAGGGATGATATTGTCAGTGAAAGTGACTTTTTTTGCATTTTTCACACACAAACAGCACTTTTACTGATGATATAATTGTTGTGATACGTTTTCCTGTTATGAAACACTAATATTTGTGTTCAGCAAAGTCTCCCGAGTATAGCAGTACACCCCATGTACAGGTTTTATAGTGTTTTTGAAAGTTACAGGGTCAAATATATAGGTCAAATAATTTTACATTGAAAAAGGCCAGGTTGGTTATCAGGGGCGGGCTGGGCCGGGGGGCAGGGAGGCAATTGCCCCCCAGGCCGCCCTAAATTCTGTCGGGACCGGCCGCTGCAGGGCCGGCCCTTTAAATGCTGCAGCCGCCTGAGCGCTCTGTGAAGAGCCTCAGGCGGCTGCAGCTGCTCTTCTCCTCCCCTCCCCTGTAGCGTGGCCGAGCTGCTCGCTGGTCCGCGGTGGCCGGCCGGAGTGATAGGATGGTGCACACTGAGTGTGCACTTCCTGTCAGTCCGGCCGGTTACAGGAAACAGAAACTCCAGTTCCGCGCGGGGTTTCTGTCTTCATCGCCGGATCGAGGAAGTGCACACTGAGTGCGCACCTTCCCATCAGTCCGCCGGGCAATCACGCTGACCAGCGAGCAGCCTGGCCATACTTACAGGTAAAATGAAGAGGGGGCGGAATAAGCGAAGGGGAGGGGGGAATAAGTGAAGGAGGGGAGGGGAGGAAATATGGAGGGGGAGGGGGAACAAGGGGCTGAGGGGAGGAATAAGGCGAAGGAGGAATATGAAGGAGGGGTGGAATGGGGCGAAGGAGGGGAGAAATGGCGAAGGAGGGGTGTAAACAAAGAGGGGGTAACAAGTGAAGGTGAATATGAAGATGGGGTGTAAGCGAAGCAGGTAAAATGAAGGGAATAAGTGAAGGTGAGGACTAAAATGAAGATGGGGTAAATGAAGAGGGGAGTAAGGAAGGAGGTGGGGGGAATATGAAAGGGGAGTAAATGAAGATGGGGTGGAATAAGTGAAGGAGGGGGAATAAGGAAGGGGGTAAATGAAGATGGGAGAGTAAATGAAGATGGGGGTGAAAATGAAGAGGAGAGAGTAACAGAAGGAGGAGGGGGGAGTAACAGAAGGAGGAGGAGGGGGAGTAAGAAGAAGAAGGGGATATGAAAAACGGGGGGTAAGAAGAACAAGGGGGAGTAAGAAGAACACAAGGAGGAGGGGAGAGAGTAAGAGTGAGGAGAAGGGGAGATGAGGAGAAGGGGGACTGAGAAGAACACAGGGAGGGTGGGTGGTGAGGAGAACACAGGGAGGGGGAGGTGAGGAGGACACAGGGAGGAGAGGGGGTAAGGAGGACACAGGGAGGAGAGGGGGTAAGAAGAACACAGGAAGGGGGGAGTTGAGAACACAGGGAGGGGGGAGGTGAGGAGAACACAGGGAGGGGGGAGGTGAGAAGAACACATGGAGGGTGGATGAGAAGAGCACAGGGAGGGTGGGTGAGTGTGACAAGAGACCGCTACGGGAGGGTGGGGGAGAGGAGAGACCACTAAGGGGCAGGGGAGAGCTAGAAGGGACAGCTCTATAGGACAGGGGGCAAGACAGGGAGCTCTTTCACACTACGCGCACACACACAATGCATCCCTATACATACACAGAAACACACAATGCATCCCTACACACACAGAAACACAACATGTTTCCCTTACACACAGAGAAACACACAATGCATCCATTACACACAAAGACAATGCATCCTTTGCACACATACACAGAAACACACAATGCAAACCCTTACACACACACACTGCTTTTCTTACATACACACAGAAACACAATGCATCACTAACACACACTCAATGCACACACTTACAGACACACACCTTGTATCCCTTATGCATACAAACACAGATTCACACAATGCATCCCTTACACACAACCAGAAACACACAATACATCCCTTATACACAAATACACACTGCTTCCACTACACACAAACACATTGCATCACCTGCACAAACTGGTATCCCTATACACTACATACCATCGCAGCAGCAGTAGGTGCAGTCAGATTATAGCCTCTCCCTCGTGGTTCCGGCGCTCAGTTAGTGAGTCAGAGCACACGCTCAGAGATTCTCAGCCTGCGCTCTGACAACATTGAAAGTCAGAGCCGTGAAGGAGCGGGTAGGGCAAAGAGCTACTGATTAGCATAACATCAATATCCGTTATAAAACCAGGAAAAGGTGGGTACCATTGCACTGATTTGGTGGTGCAATGGGCCACTTGACTGGTTTTGCCCCCCAGGCCTAAGGCTGCCAGCCCTCCCCTGTTGGTTATGTTGCCTTTGAGAGCGTATGGTAGGAATGAGAATTACCCCCATGATGGCATACCATTTGCAAAAGAAGACAACCCAAAGTATTGTCCAGTCTTTTTTAGTAGCCACTTAGTCACAAACACTGGCCAATATTAGCGTTCAATTTAGTTTTTTACTTTTTTCACACACAATCAAATATGAATGCTAACTTTAGCCAGTGTTTTCGACTAAGTGGCTACTAAAAAAGACTGGACATACCCCATATTGAATACCCTGGGTTGTTTACTTTAAAAAAAATATGTACATGTGGGGTATTATTCAGAGATTTATGACAGATAATAGTGTTACAATGCCACTATTGATAAATTTTAAAAATGTATATTTTGAAACCGCAATATCCTACTTGTACCTATAGCCCTATAACATGCAAAAAAATAGCAAAAATGCATGTAAACACTGGGTATTTTTAATCTCAGGACAAAATTTTGAATCTATTTAGCAGTTTTTTTCATTTGCTTTTGTAGATGAGTAAAATATTTTTCAAGTAAAAGTAAAAAAACATGTATTTTTTTAAATTTTTCATCATATTTTACATTTTTTTTAAAAATTAAATTACATGAGATTATATAAATAATGGTATGTAAAGAAAGCCCCTTTTCTCCTGAAAAAACCCCCAATATATAATTTGTATGGGAACAGTAAATGAGAGAGAGGAAAATTACAGCTAAACACAAACACCACAAAAGTGTAAAAAGATGCCTGGTCGCAAATGTACAACATCGCAAAAACAGTCCGGTCCTTAATACAAGAAAAGCACACTATAGCCCAAAATTGACAACAATAGTGGATATAAAAAAACAATAAAAATATTTGCCCTTAAGGTGCACTGTAGATGTGGATTCCTCAATATCTTCTGAATAAACATAAATATGCAATCTATAGAAAATACTGCGTTTTGAACTTTTATGCACATTTTGCACTTTATATGCATTATGTATTTTTTGCACATTATTTGTGTGTTCCCTGTTTGTATTTACACATTTTATGTGCTTACATTGCTTATTTTTTGCACTTACCATACGGGCTTATATTGATTGGCACTTTATACAGTTGCAAGAAAAAGTATGTGAACCCTTTGGAATGATATGGATTTCTGCCCAAATTGGTCCTAAAATGTGATCTGATCATCATCTAAGTCACAACAATAGACAATCACAGTCTGCTTAAACTAATAACACACAAGGAATGAAATGTTGCCATGTTTTTATTGAACACACCATGTAAACATTCACAGTGCAGGTGGAAGTATTTTTGGTAATATTAAATAATTTCAAAAGTTTAACAAATACAATTATTAAATTATTTGGAAAACCTATCCAACAATATTAAACTGAGGCTGCAGAGAGGTAGATGGATAGACAAACATATAAATAGACAGATATAAGGATGGATGGACTGAAGGAGCTCTCCCTTACCTTTCACTTACAGGTTTACTGTTGGATATTCGCCCAGTGATACCATATAGAGCGTTATACAAACATCATTCAATCTTTGTCTTGAAGTACAGAGAAAAAAAGAGTTGGTATAATATGCTTTTGATCCACAACCCTCACAAGAGCAGTTCAGACGGTCTCTCTTTTAGGTAAATGTTGAGGTAGAGATGGAGTACAAAAGGTTGATTGCACACGGCTACTTGTGAATATCACTCTCTCCTCCACTCCCTTCAATTTCCTCTTCTAAGACTGCCTGGTAAAATATTTAACAAATTGAACAAGTTAGTATTTCCTCAGTATCGCTTGAAAACAGTTGCCATTCTACAGCTCTGAGTCAGACATTTTGAAAGAGCAAGAGTGCTTTAGAAATAGAAAGAAGGAAGAATAAAGATTAACAGGGTTATTCCCTTAACACTGGATTTTGCCTGGATGGACAAAATCTGTTGAACATGACTGAATTCCGATTGCAATGGCAAGGCTCATATTTACTACAGCTAAATATGGTTGGAATTTGGTTGGTCTGACTGAATCTGCAACAATCTTCTGGATGCATTCGATGTCCGGATTAAATTCAGTGCTTTCGCATCTGAACCGTATACAAAGTATAGAAAAAAGCACCAAATTTTACCAAAACTCCTATATTGAGGCAAAATCACAAATAGGCTAAACTCATTCCCACTTTTAAATACAAATACACAAAAGTTTGTCCTGCGTTTAAACTCCCACTACTCCAGAGGCGGCAGCAACGACCATAGCACACATCAGCCCCAATACATACAATAAAAATCAAAGAAAAGGAGAGTGTTAAAGGGATGGGAGCAAGTGTGTCGAACTGGGCAGGGGTGATATACTAAAAAGCAGAATTTGGACAATGTCCACAGCATAAAGGCAGTGTCCAGGCAAGTATAGGGGGTCAAGAGATTAGGTAAACATGTCAGAGTATGTCTACAACACGAGATATGCATTTAGCTGAGGGACTTGACAGGTAGGTTAACTAATGTGTTGCGTAAAATATAGTAGACAACATGGTATGTGCTAATGATTAAGGAAACTAGATTAGTGCTAGTACAATATAATATGCTACCATGAACAGAAACGTTGTGATGTCACCTGGGTACTTGTCATAAGTAGTTGTAAATGTGATCCCTGCACTATAAACAGGCAAAATTTTAATTAATAGCTCCAGAGCAGAGTGTCTATCATCAGGGATTCACCCCACACCTTGCTTTGACCACCCTTTACATTCCGGCTCCAGTCTGTGTATAATGCCATTGCTTGACTTCATTCTGTGCTTGGGGTGTTGCTTGCCTTTTGGCGTGCATACTTCATACAGACCACTGCCCTTGGGTTCTTTTCTCTCTTAAGTCCAGGTCTTGTGAGGGTGCATGGCAACAGGCCTGCGGATCCTCCGTCTGATCCCAGTAGGGTCTCAAGCCCGGTATGTGGTGACCCTCCAGGAAATTCTTCGGAATGTGTGCGGTTAGGTGGGGCTTTTCCTGCGTGACTCTCCATTCCAGCGCGTGGTCAGGGTCTTGGCTTAGCAGCTCGGGTGGCAAGTTTACCAAGCGGAGTAGAGGCTGCAGGTCTGCTTGATATTTTAGCCCAGAATTCCTGACAGATCTTGTCGAAACGGGCATCGAAAATCTCTCTTGAGGACTGCGTGAGCTTGTGCTCTCGTTGTTGTTTGTGTTACGCTGCGGCGGCCATTTTGGGAACGCCATGCAATGGAGGTTATTTAGGAACTCATATGGCCATTAGAGGGAAGGCCCATCTGCCATGTCAACGCAAGCCTCTTAGATGGGTCATACACTAACAATTCACCTTGCTTCCTTCAGCTACAGACAAAAAAAATCTCTAATGAGACATAGAGGGGTATTTTTCTAGACCCCTTTATACTTATTAACCCTCAATTCATTGATTTCCATTATTTAGTTTGGGATTCTATGGTTTGTTCTATGGGATTCTTGTTCAGGGTAACACCTTCACAAATCAAGCAGGATTTATTAATTCTCCAGTTTGTTGAAACATCTAAGCAGCTGATATGGACAAATTATTATTATTAATTATTATTCACACATGTACATACACACATCTTGCTCTTCAAGCTACCAGAAAAGAAACTTGTGTTGAATCAAAATAGTAATATATAATAAGACAGCTCCTACATCAACTGTTGCTCCATAAAATTAATCCAGCAAGCAATCATTTTACTCGGGGTTCGATAAGGTTCCCATGTCTGGGTAGGTTAGAATGAAGAGATTTCACACAATTTTATTTCAGAATGTGTTACCAATACATTAGTGAAGAACCAAATGTAATAAGTAATTAAGTTGCAGAACTACTGGTCTCAAGAAGGTCCTAGTCCGATGAGATGGAAATTAAAACAATACTTTAAAAAAAGTACTTTCGTTAACAAAACACACATTTTCTTTTCTATAATGTGTGTTATACTTTTGTTTATCTTGATTAACTACTATAGGTTTATAAGGGGACACACCTAAATATACACCCCTCCATTTCTGGTTCTTTCACGAGAAGCGCCGACACACTTTGTTCTATAGCTCTCTCTTTTCTATAATGTATCGCAAACAGTCCCACGCTTATCTGTACACTGTGGCACAAAGACTGCAAACTGACATTGTTCTTTACCACATTAACTCTCGGGCACATGCAAACTGGCAGTATTCCTTATCACATTAACTCTCGTGTTACCTATTGTTACGGCACCCTCAGCATCAAATAGTAAAAACCGCCGTTTAATTAATCCTCCCCTCTCACCATAACGCAAGCTGCATTCGTACCAACTCCAATCATACGAACCGCAAGCAGGGGAATACTCCCAATCAGTAAACTCACGAATCGCCGCTAACAGCCAAACCAATATATCTCCCAAGCGGCTAATAATTCCATCCGGCAGTCGCCATTCTTGTAGTAAATTCCCCTCCAATAACGAGACCAAGCTCCGCATTGAGGGTAAAACATGAACTGGGTTTACTGTGGGCTACCCGCCTGTATTTATGCAGGTCTCCCACTTGGTGGACACTCTCCTAGGGAACCAAATTGGAGACTGTAATGGCAGATGGACACACATAATTTCACATAATATTCCCAGCATGCATCATGGTTTCCTCCCCTCTGCCCTGGAGATAATTGAGAAGTAATTCAATTTTCTCCCAGGACAGAGGCAAATCACCATTTTAGATGTAACCCAAAAAACACATAAAAATATATAACTTGACAACTACCGAACATTTCCCATTCGTGTAACGTATCCTCAGATTGCCTGGATCTGAGTGCATATTATTGGCGAATAGCGCTCAGATCCCATACGCACAGTTCAATCGCCATGGAGTCAAAGTCTTGTACAGTCTTTCGGTATGCGATTGACTCCATGGGAAGGCTATCTGGGTTAAGTCCATTCGTGCGGTTCAAACTCCTGAACGGCCGGTGTTCATATGCCTCGGTCGATGGAGAAGGGAGGTCGGTGGTTTTAGCGGTGTTCGGCAGAAAAAGTGTCCGTTTTCAGTTACATAGAATCCGTGCCGAACACCGCTGGTCTTTCGGCTGATTTAAAATGGCCGCCGCCTCGTGGTCGACATACGAACGACGACCACCCTGTATTGTGTCTGCGGTTAACCACAACGTTCTAATTGGGATCAAGAGGTTAACCAGCAGCACACTTCTCTTCTGGGTGGCCGTCCGTTCGGTAAGTTCATTCGGTAGAAAAGTCAAATAAACGAACTGGGGCATACAGACAGGTAATTCCACGAAAGGAGGCAAAACAGACGAACCAGCAATCTTAGTCTATACAGATGGATCTGTCACACCTATAAAATATATAAAATGTATTTATAAAGTATGAAGCAGACTATTTAACTAATTCAGATCACAATCATGTCACATTCATCAAGGATTCCACATGTTCTAAGTAATTTCCTCATTCCTTGTATTCATATTTTCAATAATTAGTATTCTGACATATATCCTACTATAGGAAATGAAATAGGTAGTAGAAGGACAGATCAGAAACTCAGCACGGGTGGTAAAACAAAAATAAACAAACATCAACATAGAAACGCACATCAAAGCTCATAAAAAAAACAAAGACTAACACGGAAATCCTAAACAATTATGAGTTTTGGTCTCAATCACACTCAGTACTAGAATGATAAAAAAATAAAATTGCATGAAACCACCTTGAAATCACAATATAATAATCATTGAGATTATTACATATTTTTACCTGTATTTATATAGTATTAACATATTCTACAGGAATAGCAAAAAAATAATAAAAAAGTACAAACAAATAAACAAACTTCATGGAATTTTTAATAATCAGCTTGCTTACATCACCTGTATTTAGCAAAAGTGTTTTTTTGTGAGGTGTGAAAAATAAAATTTTAAATCTATCCAGGAACTGGGCACCACAGTTTTGACTCCTGTCAGTCATTGTTATAAATGTTCCATATTCTAGCCATTTTCTACAATTTAACATAGGCCCATATTTAATATTTTTGGATAAGCTTTTCGAATAATTTTGTATTTTTGGATATTAGTTTTTTTTTTTCAAAAAAGTATGTTGTATATAATAAACTATATCAATATATCAAAAATATCAAAATATTAAAATAGTAACATATTATAAGTTTATACACAGATATTAAATCATTTGAAATATTAAATCAAGGCCGTAGTTGGTGGAAGAGGAGAAACTAAAAAAATATGTTTCTGTTCTCCTAATTATTTGCATTGTGTGCCTTGACTGTGCCGGATTTTGTGATTTGCAAAATTCTTTTTTTTATTTTATTTTTTTTATAATTTATTTGAGTTTTTTTCAATAACGGTATAAAAATACACGATATACAAACAAAAATGTTCAAACAAAGGATGATTGTCACATATCATACATTGTTACAAATATACATAAAAACATACAAAAACATTCAGAACAGCGTGTTTCTGAGTTATAGCTTTTATCCTATCCTGGTTTTATTATCCTTCTCTTAGAAATTCCCTTTTTCTTTCCTATTTATTTTTAC